CGAACTCTCTTCCCTCTTTCTTTTATATAGCTACTACCAGCACCATAGTCACTTCCCTCCGCATACTATAACGATCCGCCCTGCAGAAATATCTCTATCCACCTGTCTACATCCATATCCTACAGACAAAATTGTCTTCCGAAGTGGCTTACAAATATATTTCAATAGAAACGTAATATTCCGGAGTCAGTTGTATTGGCTCTTTCTGAATCGTTTCTGGTTTGCTCGGCCCCTTTTTCTTCTCAAAGGGATTTGCTACTACTCTCATAGACGTGTACGTATCATACATTCGTCATGTCTAAGCGGCAAAGTAATATTGTCCCTACTTCTACATGAAATCTCGTAAAGCCGATGATACGAAGTATCGCAGACAACGCGAACGTCTATGTCGTGTTAAAAAAATGTGCGCGTTTCTTTCTTGAAAATACTTGCCGAACAAACGCGAGTCTTCGATACAATCGTGCTGCACGATATTTCGATTTCAATGGAAATTGGGTGCACTTTTACCTACAGATTTCATAGGGTCTGGAAAGAACGGGTCTGTTCCGAACGGTAAATAAGTGCAATCTTACTTTAAAGAAAATATACGTTTTCAGGTAGAAATTTTCTGATTCATAAATTTTTATTAATTCTTCAATGCATATTTTAATTTATAAATATGACAATCTTTACATTACTTTATATTAATCTCATAATCTTTACATTAATTTCATAAGTAAAAAATCGATGTCAGATTAAGGAGACATAACATAAAAATATAATTAGTTGTTTTAAATTAATTGATGTTATATTATCTATCAATAAAGTAAACTATTAATTCATATTTGACTATACATTCTGATATTTAAAATTTACATTATTAGACCTGATGTAAATTTAATACTCATGCATGTAAATTATATTAAGTATATTTTTTATATTTACAATTAATCGCTATATTACATATAAAGAAAAGAAGATAATATTATATATGATATATACATTATACCTACATGATTATTTTCAATTTAAATTTATTGTAAGATTAAATATCAATTTAGTCGTTCGTAACGTATAATGTTCATTGTTTGACGAATTGTTTGCAAGGATAATATTGTATACTCTATCCATAGGATTATTATGTTTGTCCATTGAATTTCTTTGCAGGATGTAGCATATGCTTCCTACCTTATTTTCTCGTTTTACACCGCGAGGTATCCCAACAGCAGACATTTCGGAGGGTCGCGACAGTTCCGAACTTTTGTCAATATTGATCCCCCTTCCTTTGAACGCGAGGGACGTACGCGTTCGGCTAACGTATGTCTACGATTTTTAGAAGCTCTAATGCGTTGCGCAAATAAACGACCGTTTGTCAACTACATATACTTTAGCATCGTTCTCGATGTGTCCCATATGACTAAACGTATTTTAAATCATGTTATACTTGCGAGTCACAAGTACTCAATTTATAAGTACAACATTTGAAGTATAATCACGTTGAGCATTCGAACGCGTTGACAGATCTAGTCATATGCTTATTTTAGAAGATAAAACAAGTTAGTCTCTGTTGTAATATATCGCAGCTGCACGTTCATGAGCATAATATTGTTAGTTATCGATCATCGCGAATAAATTAAGTCATCGTATATCGCGAATAAATTAAATTTCCATAAAGTATAAGAGGGAGGAATTGGGGGGGAGGGAGGCGTAAATTGATTTTTCGCCGTCTCGTTCGTTGCTTTCAACCTTTTGCACGATCTGCGAGTCATTGAAGAGCGCATATGTACGACGAGACGGAAGAAAAAGATTTCAAGCCTGCTGGCTCCCATTTATCGACGCGCTACTTTGCTTCAATTAATATACGCTAACAACATTAATTAATGCGGCACAGCCGCGACGGGCGAGGTCGACGAGAATATGAGTTGGAGGGACAAGGAATTCTCTTCTCTTTTGCGTCTATCCATCAAGAGCGGTCGCGTTGCTTGTGTCGCATTCAAACTGGGTTGGCGCCACCCCCCTGCCACCTTAACTTCGACATCAGAGGCTTTTGGGGCGATATTATCTGTAGGAAAGTGCTCGAGAATATTATACGTGCGTAGTGTACACACCCTATCGAGGCCAGCTACTTTAACCGTACTCGACGTTGGATGATTGAGAGGAGAGGAGTGAGACGGGATGAAGAGGGTAGGTGGAAGCATCCATCGTAGACGGTAGCGACTACTGCTAATCGAATTATCGATCCCTGTCCGCGTTCTCGAAGCGAATATTAAATTTTCCGCGAATTTTAATGTACAATGAGGGCCAGTAGCAGATTTCTTTTTCTCTTTCACTGGAGGATGTCGACGTATTAATAGATGACAGGTTGTACTGCAATAAATTCGTAGTGTGGGAATATTGATATGATAGTCATTCAGTTTATGCTCTTTTCTTATACTTTTATTATCTTCGAAATTAATAAACAACGTTATTTGCATACATAAAAAGCACATCACATTATTCATAATAATTTATAGTAATGATTAAGAATATATTCTAAAATGTTTATCGTAAATTACAATATTTATATGGAGTCTCATTCTAAATTTATTCGATTCTAAACTCTCAAGTTTGTTTTATTGTAGCCACTTCCGGTCATAATTTCTTTTTCTATCGTATCCTTCAGTAGACGTTTATTACAAGCGAGTGATTTCTTTCGTCTGCATATCTGGAATCTAATTTTAAAAACTTCATAGCAGCACCATCGGAGCATTTCTCTCTCCCGCAACAGGATCCCAGCCGTATTCTATTTTCAGGTGTCCGCAGGTAGAGATGAATCGCAGGAACGCACTAGAGAAGCACTTATACGATAGAAACGTGTATATGGGACACCGCGTAAGCGTGTTCGAGGCACGTTTCTTCGCATAGAAACTGCGTGTGGCCGGGTAGCAGGAAGAAGGAACGGAGGGGTTGAGAAGGAAAGCACAAGAACCTCGGGAAATGTCAGAGAAAAATTCCAATATGCCTCGAAATTCTGGCGGCCGTGCATGGAATGCATCTGAGCCCCTTGATTGTGCTTCGGTAGCATATTTTTCTCGTACTTCCGATATTGCACCAGCGAGTTTCTTCGTTTTATAACTGCGAACACTATTTGAATCTCTGCTTTCTTTGGTCTGCACGAGGTGCACCATGTGCGCCCACAAAGGACACTTTTTCTCCGTTTTGTATTTGTGTATATCAGGAATAGTTTCCTATTTCTCGTTTATTACGAACGTAAGACATTCACTTATTTTATTTGCATATTATACTTATATCGTGTCTTGCGAATCCGCCTACCTGCGAAATGTCTAATCATATCATTTATATAAGTCAGCGTAGGAGTTAAAAAGTTAGATCATTATCATAAATCTTTCTGTTAAATAATATTTTAATATATAAAGAAATAAAAACAATTTATTATAGCTATAAATTATTCTTTAATTTATACAAGACTACAAGATCAATCTTAAAATTTTTTTCCATATTTTTATATAGATCTTTAATTGTGATATATTCTTTGTTACAGGTGATGCCTCTTCCTCGTATCAATTTTTTGGCCATTTCATCGATACATTCGAACGAATCTTTGATGTTAATAATGTTTGTATAGAAACGATCATTTCAATCTCACTGATTATTCTTTATCCGCGAGCTGAAGATATATTGGCATACTTGTCTCGTCTAGCGCATAATTCCATCGTGTATTTATCGCCTAACCAGTCGTTGGTGAAATCACATCGGACTGAAATCGATCTGACGCGTAATATCACCAGCGCTATTCAAAGCAGTAAATGGTTGTCGACATACCGCGAGGTATTGGTAGAAAATCGTTCCCTGGCACGAGTCACGTACCCGTTTGGGTACGATAGAGCCTTGGCCGAAGACCAGCATCAAGATAAAGTCAGTGGGAGCTGTACCCAAGGATGCGCAGGAACGAGTGGTGCCGTTAGTGGTGGATAACAACTCGTTGGAGGGGCCAGCGAGTGGCGAGGAAGGGGGCCACGGAAACGGCCCCCGAAAGGGCCCGCTGGATGGTCTAATCTACGAACAACCATCAAGACCTAACCAGCAAGAGGGCGAATACATCCGATTAACCGAGACGCAGGAGCTTACCGTCTTTGGTTCAGATCTGGCCGCAGTGGACACCGGACTGGGACCCACCAATGAACGCATAGAACTTGATGAAAGGACCGGAAGCAAGATCAAGCGGTCACAAAGCCCCATAGTGCCGGCAATCGACGATCACGTCCCGATCTTGATACATTGCAAACATCATCCGGAGGGATTCAACGGCGCAGCCTTGGAGCTACAATCGACCGGCGACAATTCCGACGCGCGCTCAAAGCGTTCGAGGAAGACGTTGGACGAGGATAACGATAACGACGACGAGCAACCGGCGAGAAGAATCTGCGCGGCACATCGGCACAGAGTGTCCTGCCACGTAGCGCGAGCCCATACGGAGCCATCCTGTCGAAGAGACGTAAACCGAAGTCGACCCTGTCGTGTTCATGATCGCCGGCGGGACTGCTCCAGAGGAAAGTCGACGGAGAGACCAGAACATCGGCATCTGAGGTTCCACGATCCGAACGCCATCGTACGATTAGAACAAGACCCAATACTTCGTCCAGTTCGCATTCTCGGTTGTCCTCCCGCGGAGGGCCAAGAGATAACTTCCTATCTGGAACCTGCTGGACCTAGTTACGTTTACACGGGTATCGGCGTTGGTGGTCAGTTCGCCGGCGGTGAACCGCACTGCTTCGATCTGCACAATCCAGACAATATTCTGCCCAAGAGCCGCGTCGGCAGCATTGCCAGACTCCTCGACGGTCCAAATCGCGCCGTGAAGGATATCAATCGCAAGGTCTTGGCGATGGCGCGTGCCATGACACCTGCCTGGTCGCTGCGCCTGCTTGGCGTCAGCTGCGGTTCCGTGCTTTGCGCCTGGGGACTTTTGTTGATATTATCCGTGCTTGGTGGAGGTGCTTCGCATGGCACCGGGATCGGTAACTTCGGCCTCGGTAGTATGACGGGTACGATGGACGATTTGAATGGCGTTAGATGTCCTTGGGCGTGTACGTGCGGCGGACAGGAGGTCGATTGTTCTCACCGTGAACTCACGCAGATTCCTGGTGACCTGGCGAGCCTGCTCATCGCGGAAAAACTGTAAGTAGCTAAATGTTAATATTGCTTTTGAATATGCAACATAATTAAACAATTGCATAAATATTACATTATTACAATTGCAATTATTACATTACTGAAATATGTAACGCATAATTATTATTATGGTGCTATTACAGTTGTATTACTATGATGGATTTAAACATGCATTGCGTAAATGGAAAAAATAACACTTTGAAACACTATTTCGTGAAGGGAAGCAGTATCTAAACTGTATCTTAGTTACAATTACGACATTATAGTTGAAGCGCCAGTGCTGTAATCGCGTAGCAAAGTTAACCGAAGGTCTGACTTGCGTAACTACAGTTATTTAGTTCTGGGAGAACTCGTTAACGATTTCAACCGCCAGCAAAATTAGCGCTTCGTTGAAAAATTTCAAGTGAGAGGAGTAGCTTCTTATTTAACTTTTCAAGGATTAGTTCGACGCACGAAATGGGTGGGAATTAGTCACGTGAATAGCAAAATATTTCTTTGTGATCGTAAAAAGCATATTCATACGTGACAGGGCGCATGTCACAGCTACATAATTGATGCTTTTCAATTCACACTCATGTTTTCCGTACTCGATATACAACATGACGCGAACCGTTGCAATGGTAACAAATATTTTCTATTTATCAATAAATCAACGAGAAATCTAGATTCATGTTTACTCGAGAGAGTCTGCTTCAAAGTATCGCCGATCAAACAATTCACGACGATGAAAATCGGTTTGCTCATGTAGATTCGCTTCAGCGTTCATTTTGTTATTCGTGGACCATTCCTTCTGGAAACAATTCATATCACCTTTTTTGTAAAACTACTTCCGCGTAACGCCAGCGTTGCCGTGATATGATAAGCTTTTCACTCGCGTATTTATATGCGTACTTAAGTGAGCCAGATTCAACGAAAGGCGAACGCCGCGAAAAATTTAACGGCGGAGCCGTCTCGAATGTTGCAATATTTGCATATTTTTATCGAATCGAGATGCCGAAGTAACGACCGTTTAACAACTGCGCGTTCTTGCTGCCAACGCGGCAGAAGGTAACGCAATAAAAACGGAGACAGCGCAATAATATACATTACAGCCAGCAATAGAAGGAAGCATAAAGAATGTCTTACGTTTTCTCAGAGAACTTTTAGAGATATTGCGGTGCTCGTTTTTACCAATAATACTGTCTCGAATATTACAATATCGCACATATCCGCATATTGCGCGCAATAATGTGTCGGTGTATTGATTCGATGAGAAATATCACGATTTTTCGGATAAGCGATATTGTCAAGAGTTGCCGAATGAACGTACTTTGTTTTTGCTTTACGCAATCTGCACAATTCAAATAAAAGATCCGACATTTATTGAAATTATGTATTAACTCTTTATAGAATCTTTATTTACTGATGCAATATTGCACAATTTGCGAGAAACCCTATTTATTTTTTTTAGTATTGTATACTTTTGTTGAAATATTACAATATCACGATCAATATTAAATAGTAATGTAATTAAAATCTGAGTAAATATTTAATAAATATATAAATTTTTGTACGCATCCACGTGTTTGTAGTATATATCTATGTATAGGCGATTTAAAATCAATTGCGTTTAGTCAAGCTGTTACGTTACATTTAGCACTTTCCTTCGAATGGTCAATTTCTGAATCATATTTTAATAAATCTGTACCTATATTTAGACTTATATTAATGATCTTTGATTTGCATGGCATATGATTAATATGCCATGAGCGAACGACGGAGATACCAGAAATAATTAAATCCTCGAAATATATCGACGATAACTTGTTATAGGATATGGTGTCGTACGATAGCCCCCATTATGAAAATACCATCAACTCGAAACACGAAGTGCTGTCGGGCCGACGACGTCTTTTTACGCGGGATTATGGGCGCCTAATGTTAGCGCGGGCCACGAAATTCATTATGTCTTGTAAGCACGAACTGCTCGTATCTCAAAGAATATACGCGCGCGTGTCTCGCCTGCAAATTGAATTTACAACTTCAAATCGAGCGTCGTTGTACTGCGCATCGCGTTAAACTGTGCGTACGATATTGATGTTAAATATTAGCGCGTTTTTATTCGCCGGACGGTACTCGTGGATATACAGCGGTACTTTGCCGCATAGGCACACGTGCGTGCTTCAAAATTTGCTGAAACTACCGGGTCGATACCGATATAATTTGCACGATATATACATTTGGTGCAGATGCGTCGCGCAGATATCCCGCGTTTTATATTTCTCGCGCGTAATTTTTATAAATCTGCAGCATCCAAATATCGAGGCACCATTATTTCAATTAATATATAAGAACGTACAAACGCGTTGGAGAAAGTTATGTAAAATTACTTCACCTCTCTCTCTCTCTCTCTCTTTCTCTCTCTCTCTCTCTCTCTCTCTCTCTGTCTCCCTCTCTCTCTCTCTTTCTCTCTTTCTCTTTCTCTCTCTATACATTTAAATCTATCGAGAATGCATGATATCGCTACTTACGATCGATACTAGCAAGCGCTTGAAATGAGATTAATGACTACAGTCAATACGCTTGCATGAAAGTGACGTGATTGATAATGTATAAAGTAAAGCTACGGATACATGTTGAGCGAAAAGATTGGAGGGACGATGAATAGAAATAACTCAACGAAATGAAGGCGGAAATATAATGCTGTTTATGTTTAAATTTTTTAAATTAACAACTTTATTATTAAAACCAGATTAACAAATTTTATTAAAATTTCATATATCAACCGAAAAATTGGCATAAATGTCACTTTGTTTAAAAAGATTTTTATGTTGCGCGTTTATCAAAACGAAAAAAATGGGCGTTTAATATTTTTCACAATTAATATTTTTCAATTTGTGTTAGTTGAAGCTATAATAAACATCCATATAAAATCGTTAACTGTAGGAGACGTTTCGTTCCAGGCGATATAGATAGCTCACTTTGATCACTATCTAACTGAAAATCACTGTTTATACCTGTTCACCCGCAGTGAGTCGATCTTGGGATAATTAGGGATCCAAGCAACTAGATTTCCCTCTTCATAGTTAACCCTATCTAAATCCGTAGCCTGCGGATGGTTAAACGTTCTCGTGTTATACATGAGTGTACATTGATTGGTGTCACTACCAGCCATACCTTGCTATCAGTAGTTTGAATGAATCTCCAGGGACGGTTCTGAACTTCGATGTATACAATCTACGGTTGTAGAAGATTCTGGTAGTGCATGCATCGAGATACATATATATATA